AGCTTCGGCTCAAGACAGCCCTGGTAATTGTGTTGCTATCAGATGCATGAACAAAACCAGCAATTCTTGAAATGGGTTAAAAAAATTTTTTTAATGAAAATTGGTAATAAATATCGGTGTTAGGTGGATTTGCCACCTTCTTCATTGTTTATTTGATCTGGATTGCACACAGCTGCTTTTTTTTTTAATGCAGAGTTGACTGGAGTTGGTCAGCATCCAAGGTGAATAAAGTAAATAATAAAAGACATTATTGATGAGACCATCTATTTTTCTTTGAAGAACTCAAGTCATATGCATGACTGAATGGCCATTGTGTTTCCTCAACATCCCTGTGCTGTAACTTAGGCTAAGAGATCATGTATGGATCAGAATCCCTCACTGAGCTTTCTAAATACATAGCAATTTGAATTTGGATCACTGCAATTCTAATCTGGCAATTTAACCACAACAGTGGTAACTCCTGTACTGTACATTCAACTGACAAAACAGTTCTGCATAGCTATGCTTATTTTGTTGATGATGTTCTGCTTTGAATGGAGCTGTCTTTTAAAGGGCTAGGCAATAAGCTTGCAAGACCTTTTCAGGGTGCTTAGCTGCTGCCTGTGGCGATTCACATATTATGTGAATCACAAGCAGCCTATTAGTTACATTAAAAGTTCTCAGAATGGGATGATCCCATAGAATTTTATAAAACAACTATCAGGCAAGCATTGCTTACAGAACCTTGAAGTATGTGGCTTGAAAGAGATATATACCTCAGGTATCAGTTAATAACAGCTGAATAGCTACTACGCAAATATAATTGTTTGTAACTTTTTAGGAGAATCATGCACAGGAACTTCTTGTTTTTTAACAACAAAACCAAGTGGCCATCCTATGCACACATGCTGAGATAGTTGGGGACGGCTTACAAAGCAGCCACCCAAGCCTAGGAAAGGATCATGCTTCTTTAACCATGTTAAGAAAGGTACTTTGTAGGTGTTTCTATATGTTGCAAAGCACCTTTCCCAAAAGATTTGCATTAATCGAAACAGGCTTTTTCTAGTCTGAAATTTAGCCAGAATATTTCTTTCATTCTCCGTTACCCCAATAGAATTAGAATTCTTTATTGGCCAAGTGTGATTGGATGCACAAGGGATTTGTCTTGGTGCAAATGCTCTCAGTATACATACAAGAACAATTTCACATATTATGATGCGGAAGTGCTAGAGAAGGAAATGCCAGTGATCTTTTTGCAGAACAGATAGCCCAAAAAGTTGATCCAACAGAAACTGCCAATATAATCCATAAAATGAAGTTTTGCTCCATTAATTAGTGGTAAGGATAGTATCTCTTTTGATATATCTGTTGGGTAAATCTCTTCCAGGCTGTGCTTTAAAATCATTTTACATCAGAAATGAGAATGATGTTCCTACAGTTATTTCTTCAACAGGAAAGATAATTTTAGTATATGCGGGAGGGACAATTTGCAGAAAAATTAGAAAAGGTGATTTACAACAGGCAGGGAATATGACCATAGCACCTGTCTGCAATTCTTTATAGCGGTTGCATCCATTGCTTTAATTTACCTGTAGATGACTGAGAGAAAATTCAAAGGCCAGTGAAACACTCTAAAATGAAATGTCTCCTTTTCCTGTGTTTTTTTTTTAAACGCACTGTTGCTAAAATCATTTTCTTATTAAAAATTTTTGAGAAAAATATTTTTTAAAACAAGGCTACTACTTTTCAGGAAATGTCAGAATTTCTGGAATGATAAAACTAGAATATTACTTAGTGTAAAACTGGTCCAGGGAAGCCAATTAAAACATGGAACTGTTTTACTATCAATTCCAATGATTTCTGAGCAAAGAAAAGCTTACACTGAACTTTTAGGCGGTCACTTGTATACAATCTAATGATCAGTACTAAAAATCCAATAGTGCCAATTGGTTGTTAAGCCGACAGGATAAATAAATGTTTATCTCACTTTAAATGTTGCAATCCATTTAAAGGGCGAGTACCAGAATTGTTAACTTGCACAACTGCTACCCTGATATTAATTTATTCCTGGTTTCTAGCAATATGTACAGTTTCATTTACAGACATATTATTCCTTTAGCTTACACTGATTTTTTCCCCATTGATAACCACCTTTAAATCCTTTGATCCTTATAGGAAGGAAACTGCTTGAAATTTGCTTCTTTATCTTTTTGCTTATTGCTTTTATTTAAAAAATGACCATAACAAGTTGCCACTGAGACAGAAAAGTTGCAGAAAGGGATAACCCAAAACTATCAAAAAACTAAAACACACAAGGGGGAGGGAGGCAGAAGTAATTTGGGTCCTGGAGATTAGGAAATTTAACATGTTCAATCCAAATAACTTCTGATACAGTCTAGATACTGTTTTAATCAAATGTATTAACTCAATACATTTGCCGCCACAATCTTGACAGCTGCTGCCAGAGATGGAGATAATAAATTATTGGCAGTCTTTTTAACTTAAATGGCAAAGTGGAACTTCCACTTTCATTGGCATAAATACCCCAAAATATCAATTACTATGTTATCCGGAGAGAAACTGTTACTTTCTGTGTGTGAGCAAAACACAGGAAGCCAAAAGACAGAATGTTGGTAATGTCTAGCAAGCTCAACCCAGGATTTTCTTGTTCTGTAGAATTCCCTTGGATTCTGCTACCATCAACACTTCAGACCTTTTCCCTTGTCCAGATCTGAAGTCTTGTTTTTTTTCAAAGTCTTATTTTATCTAATAAATAGCTGAAATTGAAACACCTCTCTTTGACACCAGCTAGCTACCCAAAAAATCTGTTCTCTTTAAGGAGGGAGAAGACAATGCTAAAGTTATACTTGACAAAACCCAAACAAATACTCAACCTAAGCAAAAGCAATGTTTTTTTCTGACTTCAACGTTCTATCAATTTCTAGTGAGCACACAGAGTGTTGCATTTCCTTGACTGCATTTCTTTTGACACTGACCTTTCTTGAACTTCAGTCAGACCCTTGAGATGGAATCACAATGTTTAAAGCACAAAACTCCCCAAGATCTGAAGTGTAATCAAGTTATATTGAAACGGCAGAGAAATTGTCCTTAACTGCACCATCCTATGCATAGTGCAGTAGAAACAATCCCTTTTTGATTAATGGGCTTACTTCCAGTTAACTGTGTACTAGATTGCAACCTGAAGGAGCAAATCTGGGACTAAGCCCCACTGAAATGAACTAGATTTATTGCTGTGGAAACCAATTTAGAATTCTAGAATAAGATTGCAACTGAATCCTTATATACTTGGGGTTAAGCTGTAAGAAAAACAGAGCCACACTTACAGCAACATTTAAATCTTCCAATTAATCTTCCAAATGGGAAAGTAGGCTTCACTGAGATCAGTATAAGCACAAAAGAAAGCCTTCCAATAATTGCATAAAAACAATTGCAGGAAAATGGCAAATAAGAAAGCAGGAAGAGGCAACACTTTATAAATGTAGACAAATATAATTGTCCCAAGATAATGTTGCAAAGTCCAATCTGAGTTGGTCACCGGGACCAGAGGTTTGTTCTTCCAAGCTTTTGGACTTGTGCTTGAGCCCATCCTCTGGGAACTGAGGACTCAGATTGGACCCTGCAACATTTTATTATGCTGATCAAGTTGTCCCCCTTTTTTTTTACTAGTAAGAAAGAAACTACAGGCAGCTTTTTACAATATAGAATCTAACCTCAAACACATCCTACCAGCAGCCAAATCCGATAGCCACAAAACTTATCTGTAACTAGCTAGGCCAAGATCACAGTTTGCATTATGATCATTTGTCAATAAGCACAAAACATTGCCCTGTTGCAAAGAGTGTTTCACAGGATACTAAAAATAGTTTATTTATTTACTATAAAATAGTAGCACTATTTTTAAAAAGCCTTTTTCATATATCTTTGCAATTCTTATTGAATGGAGAAATGTTTACATTTACAGCTCTCTAGAGATTGAAGAAAACAAAAGATATTTTAAAAGAAAATATAGGACACACATTTTATTAATACCAAATACAAATACAGTATATATTAATATCAATAACAAATATACTATATATCAAATAATTTGTATTGATATATTTCCTGACATCCAACTGTAATATGCTCCCTACTTCCACAGTGCAACAAAGCAAGTTTTCATTAAAACATTTCCCCCCCTCTAATATAGGCAGGATACAATGTACTCTTCCCATGTGCCTGTTGTGCCGTAATCTTACAAAATAGGCAACAAGTTCATTTCTAACCCATGGTCACTAGACCAGTTCATGAACACCAATTTTGCCTTCTTAAAACAATCTCTACACTAACCTACTGTGCAAAGGGAGAATAAAAAGTGAGGATTCAGAATTCAATTCAAATTCCTCTGCTTCAAATTCAGGGAGATTTACTGCGGAATGAGCCTGATTAATAAAAACTTCAATCTCTACACACACAAATACATGATTTTCAGAGCGGGCTGCTTTCAACCAAGTTGAATCTCTGGCAAGAGGGAGGGAAGGAGATACATGTACTGTAACCCTCATATTTATCTGGAAGTAAGTAGGGCTTTTCATTTATTAGGTACATATTTATAACGCCTGCTTAGCTTACGGTACATTGGGAAGGAAAAAGTCCTCATTTTACCAAAGGAGATTTAAAAAAAAAAAATAGTCAAGGAACGGATCCTTAACTGGGCCATTTCTGATCAATTTATTTTTAATCACTTTGGTACAGTAGAACAGTAGTAGCAATAATAATACTATAATATTATAATTTGCTAATTTGCTTTACATTCTGGGGTGATAGGAAACCTCCCCACATAAGCAAGTATGTATAGCAGCATTGCAAGGCAAAGGAGGTATTGCCTAAAAGGCCACAATCCCTTCTAATGGAACCCATCCATGTTAAAAGTTTTGAAGATTAAAGTTGTTAAGTTTAGTCTTGAAACAGGATCACATAGACATATTGTAAGAATTTAGGAATGGGATATGTGTACTCACCAAAGGTGACATAGATCCATTTGGCAGGTAAGGATCAGACAGCATGAGGAAAGGGTATCCAGAATAAGGAGATCCTTTATACATCCCTGGGTCCTGATGTTTTAAACCTGTTAAAATTCAAGTCCCTGGTTAGGATTTCGCCTCAGAACCAATCTCCCCTCCCCTCCCCATACATTTGTTGCATTATTTGTGCTGGCTAGCATCTGTGAAGTTCACCTGACCTTCAACTCCCCATTACCGCCACCCATGAGTTTGCAACCTATCTGGTGGTATAAAGGAAAGCCATGAAGGAAAAGGACCAAGTCCCAGAATGCAAACAGTGTGCAGATGTGCTCATTTCTCCACCTTGGTTAAACTGGTGCTCTTGGTCAATCGGGAGTGGGATGCATTCCATCCCAGATATTTGTACCTGCCCCATACTTCTTCCCCAAACTTCCAGGGTGTGTGTGTGTGGGGGGGAGAGTTTCACCCCTGCAAGGAGCTCACTGTGCCAACAGCGCCCAGGCCAACTTTACATCCTGGGATGCAATACTCAATTATGGGGAAAAAAAGTGTGTGTGTGCGCGCGCGCGCAAATGATGGGGTGTGTGTGGGGGGGAAGGAATGACAGCCTAGGGAGAAGCACCTTTATGTTAAGTTTCACTCGCCTGCACCCTTGCAGGTCAGGGCTTTCACGAGCGGTGCGGAGTCCCTCTCCGGGCGCGGGCGCGAGGCGTTTGCCCGCTTTGATTTAGCTGCGAGGCATTGACGTTTCCCCGCGACCACGAGGGCTGCCAAACCTTCCCCCTTCTCTCCCCTCCCCTCGGCGGTCATGCTCCCTCCCTCGAGGCACGGAGGGGAGAGGAAAAGGTGGGCGGCGGGGAGAGGACGCGAGGAGGAGGAGGAGGAGGAGAAGAGCGGGCGGCTCTCTCTCTCTCTCTCTTTCTTCCCCACCCCCCCACCCCCCGAAACTGACCATCATCCATGTGATCCGGGAGTTTTTCTGGATAGACTCGCTGAGGCTCTTGCAGCCGCCGGATTGCCTGCAAAAGGCGAGGAGAGAGAAAGGGATGAAGATCGTTTTTTTGTTTTTTGTTTGTTTAAAGTTTAGCATAAGAGGAGAAAGTGACCCGGGGCGGGCGGGGTTCGGTCTCACCTCGGAAAGGGCTCCTGCGGCGGCTCCAGCCACGGTTGCTGCTGGGTTGGACGCCTGACGGTTGCTGCTGCTGCCGCCGCCGCCGCTGCTTTCCGACTCATTCACCAGGGATGATTTGAGGTCAGCCAGGTCCCCCTCAATGAAGGCGTTGGCCTGGATCTTCTCCTCCTGCTCCCCTTCGTCCTTAAAGGCGATCATCTCGTCGTTGGCTCCCAGATCATCGCCTCCGCCGCTGAGTTGGGGCATTTTCTTCCCGAGCCAAGCCAGGGAGGGATTGGGGGGGGGGGCGAAATGTGGGGCGTCGGAGCGGCGCCGGGAAGGACAGCGGCGCACTCCGGTTCCCCCTTTCTTCCTTGAAGAGGGAGGCAAAAACGTTGGGCGACCTCCTGACCGGGTAATCCCGACTCTCGTCGGGGCGCTAGCCTAGGGAGGGAGCGGGGTGGGGGGTGGGGGGGAAAACTGTGCTTGCGGTCTAAAGCAGGACGAGCAAGCGGAGAGGTCGAGGTAGCGATCAACCGCTCCCCCCCCCCCCACACCCCTCCGCGGTCTTGGGTGCCCCTCCCTCTCTCCCCAGCCCCGGGAAAGTTTGACTAAGCAGTCGCAGCCGGCCGGCCAGCTAGATCGATAGCCTAGCCTGGCTGAGAAAGCTGGAGTAGCAGGAGTAGGAGTAGCAGCAGCAGCAGCAGCAGCAGCAGCAGCAGCAGAAGCGGCGGCGACTTTCGCTGGGAAGGGGGAAAAAAAATACACACACACAAAACAACCACCCCGAGCAGCAGCCGAGCTAGCGCTGTTAAAGTGCGCGGCTCTGGAAGAACACTGGAGAGCTCGAGCCAAAAGACTTTCAACATCAAAGCCGCCGCCGGCTGATTGACAGCGGCGGGGCGGGATTGGAAGACTCTGTTCTCCCGCGACGCGCTTCGAGCCTTAAAGAGACAGCGCCCGTCTCCTCCTCCCGCGCGGGCTGCAGGGGATGCGCGCGACGGGCCCTTGAGAACCGGCGCTCCTCGCCTCCGTGAGGTAAAGGGCGGCAGCCGTGCCTCCAAGCCCTTGGCAGGGCCGGAATACAATCTCGGCCAGAAAGAAAAAGAACAACTTTCCCCTCTTCCTGACGAAAGTGGGTCGCTATCCGATGGAGTGGCGCACTTACACGTGTCCTACGCAGACGCCGCCGTCCCGTACGCAGACGGTGCAAGAGAAGGAGAGCAGCGGGGCGAGCGAACAATGGGGGCTTGGCTCCGGGCTGCTCCCTTCTACTGCAACCCTTCCCGACCTGGTTGCCTCCGACAACTCGCAGAATTCCCAGTCAGCTCGCCTCACCACAAGGCCATAGTTGACTGTGGATTATAGGAGATGTCGTCCAACACGTCGGGAAGGAAAACATGTTGGGAAACCTGTTTTAATGCCACAGCGTTAATGTGTAGGCAATTCCCTTAGAGAAGGAGACGGTGGTGGTTTTTATTTTATTAATACAATGTGCCCTTCTTAATATTCACTTTTTAAAATCCCCTTCATCGTTTCGGAATATACCCTGTTACGTTTATGGACCCATTTCTATGTTACAATCACAACCTGTCCGTCTCTCTGTCTCTCCCTTTCCTTCTCTCCGCCATCTGGATGAGATCACAGTGGGGTTTCTTTCTGAGCAGAGGGCATTGATTGCTGTAAGGGTCAGATCCCATAACCATTTATTTGGAAATCATATCGGGAATGGAACCAGGATGGGTGCACTTATCAGACCAAACTATGATTTGTTTTACCATTGTCACATAAAACAGTTGACTAGATTAATGCAACATGCTAAATAATAAAAAAAAAATCCATGTTATGGCTCCAATTAACCACACTATTTCCTAGTAAATTCATATGAATTACAACTATTTCTATATCACTGTGTTATGCTATGTGAAATAAAACCAGGTCTTTCTGACATCCAGTCACCCAAAATTGCAGGGCTGCTGTTTACAGCTGTTGTTCTAGCAAGACATGCCTGTCTTCCCCACAGATCCTAGACACAATTTTCTTAATTTTAATGGCACCAACTTTTAAATAAGCAAGGATTAGATTACATCCTTAATTGCCCTTATTTTATTGTGTTTTATATTCTTAATGAATGGGCAGAACTATTTTTTAAATTAAACTTGGGGTTTAGACTAAACCCAAACTAGTCAAACAACAAGAAGCATCAGCAGTTATTATTATTAATAACGACTCAGCTTTTCCAGCTATGCCTGCAACTCTAAGCCACATTTTTTGGCACATTGAACCAATGGGACTGACTTCGGAGTAAATCAAATGTGGGCTCTATTTCTGATATTTACCCCCTGCCTGCTTCCTTCCTTTTTGGTCTCATTGACTGCAAAGAAGCTCAACTAACCTGGGTCCAAGAGATGCCCATTTATGTTTGGGGTGAGGCTGTTTTGCGCTGTGAATGGGCAAAGCCCTTCTCGCTCTTTGTGTGCCGGACAACTGGCCATACAGTGCTAAAAGCATTTATCTAGGTCTGATGGGGTTTCCAGGTTCCCGAAGCCCCCATCCCTCCCTTAAAAAAACCCCAGGGAACTCCTTCTCCCCCCCCCTTTTTTTTCTTTTATTTTCCCAATTTCTCCCCCTCTAGTATTGGCGATCCCTCCTGGAATAAAGGCATGTAACACTGGATCTCAGATAATGATTACTTTTCCTAACGTGCCCCGAGGGTAAGGAAACATGAAATAGCAACTTTTCAGCCGGTTTTCAAACCACTTAAAGCGGGGGTGTCGTCCAGAGGCGGGGTGGGGTGTGAACTTGGGCGACAATTTTTTTTCATTTGGGGTCCTCCTCACAGTCCCTGCTACTCACGAGGCGGCATTTTCCCACCTGGCGCTCACAATTCCTGTATACGAAAAAGTTAATGGATAGCAAAACTCTCCGACGAGAGAGACTCCCGCTCCTTTTCATAGCGGGACAGCTGCGGGTCTGTGCAAACCTTCCATCTGGTCGGGGATTTGAACAATTCCACGTAAAGAGGTCTTCGTACTGTCCGCATGGCACATAATTGTTACTTTCAACACCTCAATTATCTCCAGCGCTTCCCTCCGCTTAAAGGTCGTGTTCTGCTATTGAAAAGATTTATTTTTCGGCAGCTCGAAAGCAAACCCACCCTTCCCAGTAAAAAAATAAAAATAAAAAAGGAGAAAAAAACAGCCTTTTCCATCAGATGCGTGACTTCTCGGGGCGCGCTTAGATCCCTTTCTTCAATTTTTCTCCCGCTCTCCCTCTCCCCCTCCCCCCTCTCTCTTTTCGTGAAACAGGTAAGCTAATGATAAAGCCAGAGCCCCCATCCCCCAGCCCCTGACCCCCCCCCCCCCACCTCTGAAAGACCGAAAACAGCCGTGCGGAGCTTTCCTGGATGTCTCCCCACGCCAGCTCTCTAAAGGTCCGAAGTACCTCCTGAAACAAACCCTCTATAGATTAAACATCAGCCCGGGTCGCCTCTTGCTTTTCTTCCCCGTTTTGCAAGCAAAACGCGAAGAGTGGCGAGGGAGGGAAAAGCATGGAGCAGATTTGTTGCTTCCAGATTTTCGTCGTCCCCCCCCTCCCCCCGTGTTTTGAGACTCTTTCGCTTTGCATGTAAAAGGCAGCGAGAGCGAGCGAAATAGCTTGCGATTTACAGCCCTCCCAAATGGAGATAAAACCTTGGCAATGAGTTGGAAACCTGTTGTAATCTGTGATCCAGGAAACAAAGAGGCTCATTAATGCAGAGTCTTTGGTGAGCCTTTGATGTTAGCTAGCATAGCATTCACTCTCCTTTCCATTTGCATTTAAACATTCATAAACATCGTTTCTGCTTCCTTTGCCTTAAGCAATTTAGAAGTAAAGTATAGCTTCTATTTAAAGAAACCCACAGTGGTGAAGCCGAGAATACACATAATCTTCCAATATCACATAATCTTCCAACAGAGCAAATATTTTTCCTGCATTTCTAGTGGACACAGATCTAACACAGACTCAAGATTTAAGGAACACAGATGGTTAACTCAAGTTTAAGTTGACGTAAAGAGAAGGAGGTCTGGATAATTTTCTTAAGGTCAACTTCATATATTAGCTGATTTTGTTGCATGTGGAAATTTTACAATTGGATCCCTAAGCAGAGCCCTCATAATTAATCCACACTCCTCTTGTTCCCCCTTTATTTCTTCAGTTGAAAGGTCTTGAATTACAAAATATGTGCTGATTCATGATCCAGGAAAAAGAGACTGGCTGACCATCATCAATGAAAATAATAATAATAATGTTCCCTAAAATGTTAATTCCAATTCATCTGGATGTGGCCAGCAGGTTGAGTGCTGTACTATAGCCAACACATGTAAGTTACAGAACATGGCTGGAAGTTGCATAAAAAGACATCCGCTAGGATGTTAATCACTTGGAGGAAGAGATATGAGCCATATATATATCACAATGCTGAGTTCTTGCATAAGTTGTTGCCTATATTCATTGGGAGATCTGCAGTTATATATCAACCCTATATTGCTTCATTTGGGGGGGGGAACCCACCAAATGCAAGAGGATTTATATTTAAATATGTGTGGTTTACAGAAGAGTAAGGCCTTTGTTTTTAGCCATAATGCAGCCTGAATAAACATGCAGGGATTTGTACTGCCTGTCATTATTGTCTCTAATTGTTGAGCTATATCAAGAAACTTGGCAGCCTCTTTGGCAAATCAAAATGGAATAGAACACACTAGAAGGAAGGCTGTCATTGTTATTATCTTGGAACCTGAATTCTACGTATGAGGGTCGTTTTTTAATGTAACCTCATAACTAAGGATTAACCAAGTTAAAGAATCGAGTACATATTAGTACCTTGCCGGTCTCAAAAAGGTAAGTTCAACTGCAGTGGGTTAGAATTCTGAAGAATGACCACCAGGAAGGCTGTGATTGAGAGGAAGATGGATAAATAAATAAATAGATGGAAAAATTAAATTGACAAACATAAATATTCCAGAAACAGGTGACAGCAGTCTGTACTGGTACCAAGAAAATAACAAACACATCAGGAGTCCAACTTTCTTTTTTACACGGGGGACCTTTTTAAGCCATTCTTGTTCTTTAATGCAGTATGCAATGATAAGTGCAAGAAATGTATCAGTATCTTTGATAGTAATGTTGCATTTCTAGTAGCTATCTTTCTATATGATACATCATGTACGAGTTTGAAAGGTGTGAGTGGAATTCGTGCAAACTAAATGATCCAACAAACTTTCTACA